GTATATAAAATGAAATATACTTCTTTTTTAAATTATTATTTATTTAATTTTATTTATTCATTCATTTATTTTAATTTGACCAGAGAGTGAGAGAGAAAGGGAGAAAGGAAGCCACCAGGTCTGGGACTTAAACCATGGTCAGCCACGTGGGAGTGTCCAGCACCTTAGACCACAGTGCCACCTGCTAGTCCCCAAAATTAAATACACTTCTAAAAAAAAAAGAAAAACAGGATTTTCTACTTTTTACTCACTGTCTTTGCATGCGAGCACATGGACTCCTGCCTTCTCAGGCTCGCCCACCTCGGACCCTGCCATCCTGTCCACGGTAAGGGAGTTAGGAGACGCCTGCGCAGGGCGAATTGCTTACTGAACCTCACTGACACTAGTGAGCCGGCTACAGTATTGAAAAATTACCGTGAGGGGGGTTAAGGAGCCGGATGCCACGTGGCCGACTGCACAGTTCAAATCCAGGCTTCAGTGCTGGGCGCATGCATGCATGCCCAAAATTTCAACAAAGTGGAGAAATGGAGAAGGCTTGTGGCATGATCTCGCCCCACTAGGGGGACTTTTCCCCCCTTCCCTTCTCTGTCTCCATCTCTGGTGAGCACACACGTCCACTGACACATTAGAAGAAAAACGGAAGTGTACAGACTTCATAGGGTTCAAACTTCTCCCTTGATTAAGAAGACGCCTCCCGCGGGGCAGGGCATCTGTTTCTCTAACTAGTCAGCACCAGGGTGTTTTCATGGAGTTTGGGAACTTGAGGCTGGCTGCTGCTGCTCGGTCTTCTCCAAGCTGTTCCGGATTCCATATCCAAAATATATAATAAGGCCTAGCAGAGAAACGAGATGAGGTGTCAAAGCTGCTCCTACAGACAAGGCGGGTAGTGTAGTGGTTATGTCACTGGACTCACGTGGTCCACCGTGGCTTAAGTCAAAGACCCGGTGGCTGTGCACGTGAGCCCAAGACCCCAGGAGGAGAATAGAGAAGGGACTGCGGCATGGCCACCCCCCGCACACGTCCACTGACACATTAGAAGAAAAACGGAAGTGTACAGACTTCATAGGGTTCAAACTTCTCCCTTGATTAAGAAGACGCCTCCCGCGGGGCAGGGCATCTGTTTCTCTAACTAGTCAGCACCAGGGTGTTTTCATGGAGTTTGGGAACTTGAGGCTGGCTGCTGCTGCTCGGTCTTCTCCAAGCTGTTCCGGATTCCATATCCAAAATATATAATAAGGCCTAGCAGAGAAACGAGATGAGGTGTCAAAGCTGCTCCTACAGACAAGGCGGGTAGTGTAGTGGTTATGTCACTGGACTCACGTGGTCCACCGTGGCTTAAGTCAAAGACCCGGTGGCTGTGCACGTGAGCCCAAGACCCCAGGAGGAGAATAGAGAAGGGACTGCGGCATGGCCACCCCCCGGGGGTGCTTCCTCACTTTCCCTCTCACTATCCCCCTCTCTGCAGCCCCTCCTCCACCTGCAAGTGCCTGGCTGATGGTGTGGAGTTCCAGGGGAAGGTGGTAGGAAGCGCGGCGGGCTCAGTCACCCACCAATCGCCTTTTCCCCAGAAAGCCACTCACCAATCCCCATCCAGACTCCAAATCGGGCCCAGGCCCCAGTGGCCATCTGCATCATCAGGTAGACATTCAGGAGGATGCTGAGCAGGGGCAGGACAGGCAAAGCGGGGACCTGCGGGCAGTCCGCCACCCGGGACACGCCTCAGGTGTCGGAGAGGGAGAGCCCGCCCCACTTGCTGGGAGGATGCCAGCCCTGTGTGGGTGGTGCACCCAGTGCCATCAGGGCAGATCCCGTTTCGTGTTCCAAGAGATGGAGTTAGCGAGGTACTGGGGCGCGGGGGCGCGGGGCGGGGTGGGGCGGGGCAAGTTGTCAGGGAAGCATCCGCTGGACTCCGCAGCTCCCCGTTTTCTCCTCTGGCCCCATGAGGACTGCTGAGACCCCGGCCTGCACAGTTCATTCACTCGGCTCAGGCAGTTCGGGACCTGCAGGCACCTACCTTGAAGTGAAGAGGAGTGGCATTCTGGGGCTGCCTCCAGATGATGAAGGTGGCCCCGATGATGCCCGCCAGCAGCAGGCCACCTATCGTGGTAACAGCCGGGTCTCCAGAGAGCAGCTGTCCAGGCCAATGGGCCAGCAGGAGGCACAGAATCCTGAGCAGGATGACTGCAAGGGTGAAGTGGAGGGAGGACTGATCAAACTCCAGGGCTGACTGCCAAGGCCTGGGGCCGGGGGGCGTGGCAGCTAAGGCACTGGATCCTGCATGACTGACTGCGGTTCAAATCCCAGACCTGGGGGCTTGAAAATAAGCTGGGTATGTGTGTCATGCATGCCCAAAATCCCCAGGGGAGAACGGAGAAGAGGCTGCAATGCGGCCGTCCCCGAGGGTGGGGGTGGGGGGGTGACTTCTCACTTTCCCTCTGTCTCCCCAGTGAGTGCATGTGCCCCATAACAAGAATCTCAATAGAAAAGGAGGGCCAAGTGGAGGTGCAGTGGAAATGTACCCGGGCCCACGTGGGAAAGGTCGCGGGTTGCCGTTGGCGACCTTCACCCGGCTGGCTGAGATGGGGGTGGACTGTGCCCTGAAGACCGGTTGGGGACTTCTCTCTCCATAACAAACCATAGAAAGGTAAGGAGGGCCAGCAGGTGGCATGCTGGTTAAGGCACCAGATCCCACATGGATGACAGCACAGCTCTCTTCCCAGACCCAACCTGGGACTGAAAATCACACCAGGTCCATATACATGTGTGCCCAAAATCCCTGGAGGAGGAAGGATTGTGGTGTGGCCAGCGCCCTGGGCGTCACTTCTCACTTTCTCTCTCTCTGTCTCTCTGTCTCTCCAGCTAGCGCATGCGCTCTATGGCAAAAGCTAAAAATAAGTTTAAAAATTTTAATAGGGGAAATGAAATTGAAGTTATCAGTGGCGTGTGTGGGGGGGATGTGCTCCAGCGAGAGACCCGCTGCTCACCAAGCAGTGAGGCGCACGCGCAGACTACACGGCCGGATTTCCGCGTGGGGGCGGCAGTGACAGGCCCACACAGACTCTTGAGGGTCTTTGAGAGCCTCGATTCGGGAATGGATTCCAAGGATGCTGCTTCAGGTACAGGATTCATCTCGATTTTTTCCACCTCCATGTCCTCATTCTTGCTTACAGTCTGGTCTGGCTGGTACCTACGTTGGAAGCATTAAAGCAGTAGTGGCTAGGCCAGCAGGTAGCATACTGGTTAAGGCATTGAACTCCCACACACCTGACTGCGGTTCAAGTCCTGGACCTGGTGGCTTGTTTTATTACTTTCCTGTTCTCTGTCTCTCTCTGGTCAAACTTAAAAAAATAACAAATGAAATAATTATTTTTAAAAAAATTTTAAAAGGGGGCCAACAGATGGCGTAGCAGTTACATCATTAGGCTCCCACATGGTCAACCACAGTTCAAGTCCTGGGCCTGGCTTGAAACACACTGGGTGCATGTGCATGTGTGCCCAATAGCCTAGGAGGAGAATGGAGGAGAAGGGATTACAGCATGCCCATCCTCCCAGGGGAGTGATTTCTCACTTTTTCTTCATTTCTCCTGCATGCGCCCTACAACAAAAATCTCAAAAGAAAATAAAAATAAAATAAATAAAAAAATAAGGGAACCAGCAGTTAGCGTAATGGCTATGTCACCGGATTCCCACGTAGTCGACCGCGGTTCGCGTCCCGGACCCGGTGGCTTAGAACTCACGCCAGGCGCGTGTGCGTGCGTGCCCAAGATCCCAAGTGGAGAATGGATTGCGGTGTGACCATCCCCCCTGGGGGGTGATTTCTCGCTTTCTGTCTCTCTGTCTCTCTCTGTCTGGCGAGCGCACGCGCCCTGTAGCGAAAATCTCTCCAATAAAATAAATAAATAAATAATAATAAATTAAAAAAAAAAAGGTTACATCCCTGGATCCCACATAGCTGACTGCAGGGCCTCCCTGCACCTACGGCGGACCCTGGGACAGGGATGTCTGGGGCTGCCGCATGGGCTGGTGCCAACACCATAGGGCGTGTGTGCTCACCAGAGAGACAGAGTGAGAGGGAGTAAGAAATCACCCCCAGGGGATGGCCACGCCGCAGTCCCTCCCCCACTCTCCTGGGATTCTGTGCATGCCTGACATGCACCTAGTGTTATTTTCATTTTTGTACAGTTTTGTTACAGGGCACGTATACTCGCCAGGAGGACAGAGAGAGAGAGACAAAGTGAGAAATCACCCCCGGGGGGGGATGGCCACGCCGCAGTCCCTTCTCCTCCATTCTCCTCTTAGGATCTGGGGCACGCATGCACACGAGGCCCGCGGAAGTTTTAAGCCACCGGGTCTGGGACTTGAACCGCAGTCAACTACATCGGAGTAGTCGCAGTCAACTACATCGGAGACAGCGACATAGCCATTACACTAACTGCTGGTCCCAATAAAATAATTATTTAAAAAAATAGAAAAACAGTGAAGAGTAGCCAATAACTTAGCGGAAATTTGAGAGTAACTAGAAAAGATGATCTTGAATATTCCGGATACAGAGTAATGGCAAAGTTGAGATTGATTTGGAAAGGTGTAGTGGAGTCTCACCTGAGGACGAGAACAGAGACGGCCACCACGGAGTAGGCCAGCATGGTCCCCAGTGTGGTGAGGTCCACCAGGTCGCCGAGCTCCAGCAGGAAGGCCATGGAAGCTGGAATTCGGGCACCAAAGAGGACGCGGGGAGGGAGGCGGCGTGAGAGGCCACCGGGAATTCTGAGATGGGGAACCCGACGCGGGCTTGTCCCCACCTGCCGTGACTCCGGAAACCCCCCGCGGCGTGCTCCCCCCCCCCTGCCGTGACTCCGGAAACCACGGTGGCCATCACGGGAGTGCGAGTGCGGGCGTGGATGCGGGCGAGTCTCCGGAGAAGGAGCCCGTCCTCCGCCATGGCGTGGACGACGCGCGGCGTGGGGAACAGGGCACCCAGGAGGCTGCAGGACAGTGGGCATGCG